TCTATCTGTGACATCTGTTCCACACACCTTACAGAATACTTTCACATCACAGGAGAGGCTGGGGACATGGGACTTGAGTAGGCCACGCACAGGGCCTGGATTGTGGATTCAGCTTTAGAGTTGGAGTCATTGGTGCCTGTCCTGGCCCTGGAGAACAATTTCAAGGATCAAAACCATTCGATACCTCAAAAAGAAAAAGCTTGGCTCTTCCCAGGTTGTCCCCAACCTGGGTGGACAACTGTCCACTGAAACTGAAGACATTTTCTGGAGGTGGAAGACTAGTCCATTTGTTGTGGGTTGTGAAACATCGCAGATGGCTGAGACTCACCCTTAGATGCTTCAGGATCTGGACATGGCGGGGCTTCATTCGGCTGGCGGGCCTCCAAAATGTGACGAGGAGGTCTGGAATGTCGGCTGTGGAGCAGCAGACCAGGTGGGCTGGAACTAGGCTTAGATGAGGAGCTCGGCCATCCAGATGGAATCTGGAGTAGAGTCGTTGTTCCTATGCGTTGAAAAATCAGATGAAGTGCTTTGCACATCTGGTTAGGATGCTGCATGGATCATGTCCCTATGCAGATTTTCTGGCCACGTCCTATTTATCCGATTGTCTGATGACAATGGGATAAAAACTCAAAGACAGAACGAGAAATAAGGAAAACGTCTATATAGTTAAAACTTTATTATGGGAGTCCATAGCGGGAAGTGAATTGTATCCTCAAACATAGGACCTCGGCACAAATCCACAGACAGTAAAACAAAAGCAAAACAACCCCTCTGAGAGGAATTCATTCACTGTACAAGTAAGCTACAAGTGCACTTTGTCTTTTCTGTGAAAAGAAAAAAAACTGCGCAAAACTTTGGTCTGTCGTGTTGTTTGGAATGTGGTAAAAATATTGGTAACGTATCCCTTAGAAAAAAACGAAAAAAACACATGCATAACTATGCATTTTTCTGAAGAACCCACAAATACTAAAATATCTCTAATATGTTGTGAATAGACTAAAGGCCATGGGTCAGAGTCTTCTGTTGGACACTTCCTGCAGCCCTTGATGGGATGCGACGTTTGAGCACTTAGCAGAAGTTATTGTGCTATGACCTTTAGCAAAACAGCAGCTCATAAAAGGCAACATTTATATAAGGCAGGCTTTAAAGTGGACAGTAACTCATTCAAATATTTAAGCACTTTAAGCAGCATCGGTACTAAAACGGGCTCCATGGTCATTGTAACAGACAGTTTACAGAAGGAAAGAGGCAACGTTTGAACCTTTGTGAGATTCTAGACCCAATAACTTTTTTTTAAAAAGGACAAAAGAACTCAAAAATCTTCTACAAGAATGATTTAGGATGGAGGTTTAAGACTTATAAGGACTTCTTTTTAAAGGACAGTAGGAAGTCGGAACACACTGGAGGACCCTTAGTTTTTTTATGGCTTAACTCGGTTTTATGTCGAGTGTGAACTATAAACTTAGTATCAAATCTAAAAGTCTAAAATCTGCTTAAGCTAATGTTAAATCTCCGATGGAACCCATTCATAGGTAATCATTGGCCAAGAGGGCAGATTCATTCCAGCTTCACTCAGAAATTGAGGAGCTTTAGTACATCTAATTTCTTCAGTGAACAACTTTGGCCAAACACCACTGACTTATTACACATGTCTTAACACGCACGTCCCATCTTTGAGGGAGCGTTGCCCTTTTGATACCGACAATCTTTGGCTGAGCACAGAAACCAGCTCAAAAAGGGGAACCCTAACGACATAACAGAAAGATCTAATTAGCTAATCATCAGATGGGAACAGTCAAAACTTAAAATCCTTCACTCTTGTACAAAGTAACTTCTACACTGCCACTTACCAATGAAATGTATGAAGATTCAGAGACCAATGAGCATCAGAGTAAATACAGACATCAGCAAATAAGGTATCGGATCAAGAAGCCCACATGACCATCAACAAAAAGACAAAGAAAAACAAGACATACTCAACATTAATAGCCCTTTTCTGTAAACCTTTCAACATCACACTGGACCAACACGGATGCACGTTTCTTACTTTTAGAATAAATTACAGGTCTGACTTGTGTTGGTTGCCAAGTGACCGCTTATGTGTTCAAGGCATTAACAGTGACCAGAGAGGACTGATGGCTGGAAAAGTTTCGAACCCAAAGGGATGTTTCTGAAGCTGCCATCGCGGCGTCACACGTTCTGGAGGCCCCTCTCGTGGCCGTCCAGCTGCACCTTTATCTTGTGGAGCTCCTCGATCTCCTGGTGGTGGCGCTCCGTCTTGTGGCGCACCAGCGAGCGGTAGAAGTGAACGGTGAAGACCACGAAGATGACGCCCACCGGCACCATGATGATGGTGGAGGCCAGCGCCGCCTGCCAGCCGCTGTACGGGACGGGGCCGGCCGCTCCGTTGCTGCAGGAGGTCCGGCTTTTAGCCCCGCCCGAGTCCACGGGCAGGAACTTGACCCAGCAGAGGAGCACCACCTCGGCCAGAAACAGCAGGATGCCCAGAGCCGTGGAGAAGCCCCACGCCAGCTCAATGTAGTGGTGCATGCGCTCGTGGGGGGACTCGCTGACCGAGTTGAGGTTGTGGATGTTGCTGACCGCCTCCACGTTGGGCAGGATGCAGGTGCTGATGAGGAGGGCGAAGAGGTGCACGGCCACCAGCACAGTGGTGCACACGCTGAAGGCGATGAGCAGAACGCGGGGGTAGCAGTAGTCCACCTCCAGCTGGACCTCCACCATGGCTACCTACAGCCAAAGCACACGTCACAGATGAGGAAGAGCCCAGAACACCAGTCCGGATAACGCACAATGGCTCTGTTGCTTTCAGCTCGGAAATCACTCTGGAAACACACCCTCAAAAAACCCCATTTTATGGATTAAAGTGAAAAAGAAATCTTCTGACTCACATTTCCCAGAAGGCATTTTGAGGCAACGGGCAGCGGTAAAGTTGCTAGAAGCTGTTTTAATTCTTGATTTAGTGCTGTTAATACGTCAATTTTGTAAGTTTTAATATTCTTATGTGATAACGTACTAATTTAGACCGCTAATATGCGATTAGTTTATCCAATGACGCCTGTTTATTCATTTGTTCCGATGCTTTTGGACCCACTGGGCTTTGGATTTTCTCAATAAAAAAAAAAGTAGACTGACATTGCATTATTACTACCAATCTCTCTGTGTCAGGCTGTGATTTCTTTCTTACTTTTCAGTTTTTGGGATTGTTAGGTAGCAGAAGCTTTGAGCAGGCATTTCTTCTACGGTAAAAAATGTACTTCACTCTCAGAAGAAGTAACTACAGTATGAAGCAGAGGTATCCTGTGTTTGTGCTCCTACTTGCAACTGCGATAGAACAACTGGCTGAAGTTCCACAGAAATATTGAAATATTAAAGACAGTCGGGGTCAGAAATAGTTCAATCGAAACAACTACGTCTTTATTTCTTTATATGTATCAGAGCCTGCCAATGTTTCTCACTATTTTCCAACTTGTATGGCCAGCTGTCATCCTTTATTTGGAATTAGGAAAAAAAAATTCAGATTAGCCATGTAACCTCTGAGGCATGTCGCTTCCTAATTTTATAAACAATTAAGGCTCCAAAATAAGTGAGTTTGTTGACAACGAATAGTCTTGTCCCTAATTGGGCGGCTCTGGGGGCCTCAATCACATCCAGCTCTCCCTCTGCATTCCTTTGGTCTCAGTAACTTTAAACAAACCAGTTTCCCCAAATACTTTTAATCCAGTTGTTACCCTCATGGTAAAGATTAGGAATGAGTTTAGGAAGTCTTTTAGTTTTACAAAGTCCCTGTTGGCTGCACTAGTGTTCAATAATCAAACATTTATCCCTAAAATATTTGCTGAAACCACTCAAATTCGATCTCCACAGGCCACAATTATTCAAATAGCTGCATGAAACATATTTAGTGGGAGGGATTTTGGAATACAGATCCTAAATACACTAAACAGGTCCTTAGTAAGTTATAGGATTTCAGTTGGTACCATGAGACCAGTTTGGACTGTCCTAAAACAGACGGGAAATGTGAAAGAATCCATATCAGACTCAGCCTGGCAAATAGAATGTATCTATTAACGTTGTAGAATTTTTAAAAATTTGATTTGAAACATTTTAGAATTGATTTCTTCGTCCTCAATCTGTCTGAAACATGTCGTGGTTTAATTCATAATGGTGCATCATCCACATTGGTCCAAAAACTGGATTTAAAGGCGATCTGGATCGTGCCTTTAATCACTGTGAACAAATCCTGGCCACTGTCCAAAGCCCAAATGGTTAATGGCAATCTATTTCTGACCCTTTTTCTGTGATGTGGAAAAACTTGCTCTCTGTTAGCCAGGAGACTCATTTTGTGACGGAAGGATCCACAACCTCCTGGCATATGTTTATGCATTTAGCAGACGCTTTTATCCAAAGCGACTTACAAAGTAGGGGGGTACCGAGAATATGGACAATGGATGGGCCAGTTTATGTCTAATTTATTTAGAAAATATTAGATATAATGTAAATAGGTGTGGGAAAGAATTTCATGACACATTGCAGCCATTTCTATTGTATTTTGAAAGTATGCCATTTGTAAAAAAGCCTTCTATTCTTGAACTTAATCACACAGTCATGAAAGATAACACTTGGGGCACTCCCGTTCCACATCCAGATCCACTGTCGGAATTACTGCAAACGAGTAATGGATGCACAAACACATTCTTTTCTTTAAACTGAGGTTTATGCATAGAATTTTAAAGAAGGTCTAAATTGCCATTTTTGGCTCTTAAAGTAAGAAGGCCCACCCATCAAGCACCATTTTGTTGTTTTCAGAATTTCATGAGCTACTCCCTCAGCAGTCAAATCTCCAGAAACTGTTCAAGCTTCTTAGGTGGGAATAGTAGCTATCACTTTTGACCCATTAGCCAATCATTTATTTTTGTGCAACAGCAGGAACCACACATCAATCAAAAGTTTAGACCAGAGCTGTTCGGCTAAACAGCGTGGCTAATATCTTCAGGCTAACTGAAGTTAAGATTAGGAGTATGTGCAAAATCTAACACATTTCTAAAGTTTGAATTAAAAGACCATGTCTGTTTATGGAAGTCAGACTTGCTTTTTTTGGGCAACTGTAGCAGGAGCTTTTCTGTTGGCAAGATTGTAGTTCACTTCACAGGTGAGTTTGACATTTCATTGTATTTGAGAGCGGTTAGATAAGTGTTTACTGTATCCGCAGGTCTGATTGAGGCATGGATCATTCGGATATCAAGAATTTTAGCTTTCCCACAGTGGATAATGTTTATGTACATAGAAAGGGGGGCAGATTTGTCCGTATAAACCTGCAAACTTCCCACAGATATCAGACCGTTGAGGGGTTAATACATCAGGGCATGTGTGAGAGTATTTTAAGTGGATAACAATGGATAGTCCACAACGGGGAAGCACACAAATCACAGTCAGAGACGACTGAAGCTAAATAGAAAAGTAAAGTCCTAAAATAAATTTTAAAAAGTTATATTAAAAACATAATGGGATAGTAATATCTTGCATATATCACGTGTTCTATGAATTTACAAAACATTATATGAAGACAACTAAGTAAAAAACAAATGTGAAAATTAATTATGTTTTATCGTTTGCTTAATTTATTCATTCTTGTATTTATTCATTTTAGTATTTGCCTTCATTCAGACAATTCTTGTATTTTTAAATAGCTTTTCCAGATTTATTTTTGAGGCACTGCTGTCGTACGGCATAATTGGCAGAAGTCAGAACAGGAGATGGACTTTATTTAATCAGAGGAAAACTAGATAAATTGATTTTCAAAAATCTGATTAGAGATGACAAGCTAAGCACTGTTAGCTTTGGAAAAATGCAAAAGGCATAGGCAGAGGCAGCATGGTTCTGCAAGGACAGAAGAAATAAAAAGTACAGGACAGAGGCTTTCATCTGGATATGCTTCCTGTCAGTTTGTGTTGTTGTAAATTCATAAGCCCCTTCATGTTTTTATCTAAATAACAGAAAGTACTGTTAATGAGTGTACTGATATGAAAAGAACCTCAAAATATCCTGCCCTTGTCAAAGCAGGAAAAGGCTCACACAAACACACTGTATAAGTCAACTAACGACCGGATTTTTAAATTCTTATGATGAAGTGCGTGTGGACCTAATGAGGCAAGAACTTCAATAAGTTATTACAGAGATTCTGGGACATTGTGGTTGGTTTGTTGTGTATTGAAGACTTCTGAGAAACATAAATATGCTTCACAGAGAGAAGAGGATTTTTATTGCTTTAACACTCTGTGCAGGCAACAGGCTCTTCAAGTTTAATCATAAGTATAAATATAGCTTTTTCTGGTGAAAACAAGCGCGGCCATAAAGAGACAGCAGCTGTGACTAGTCATTTAAAAGATTTTAGAGTACATGTGCTCTACTGTCTGCATCATTAAATGCATGTACTAATGAAGTAAGCAAAGCTCAAAAGCATAGCAGAAAAAGCACAATCATCACCAGACAAAAATAACTAGTTTAGATGTTCTAACAGAGGGTGTGGTCCAGTGGAAATGGTCAGAAAGGGTACCCACCATGGCGAAGCCGGAGAGCAGTGCGGATGTCCGGCTGGACGCCTTCAGCTTGGCACGGCTCAGGTACAGCTTCCTCCACGACAGGGCCTGAGCCGAGTGGTGGTTGGAGCTGACCAGCTCCAGGTAACTGCGCCGGACCCAGTCCCTGTAGTCCATTCCACCGCCGTCTGGGGCCTGCTCCGGGACCCCCAGGGCAGGGGACCCCATGGGCATGTTCAGCTCACTGCTCATGGCACCTAAATATGGCAAAAGCTAGGGTTAAACCAAAAAAGTCACCATTACTTTAATGCTTTAGCGATATGTGGGGGTGTCAAACTCATTTTACCTGATTTTTTTTTACTTTACAACTTTATTCCCATCCAAAACTGACAATTTACAAATAAACATTTTACAGTTTTTAAACCTAAGACTGGGGTTTCACCTCAGTATTTTTACATAACGTCTCCAGCCTTCTTTTTGCCATTAAGGCAAAATAGGTAACCAGGCTGGGAGACGGAAAAAAGGAGCCAGCCAAAAAAAGGAAGCAAACGACTTTGGTTCTCATTTGCCTATGCGGATCTGCTCTACCGATTTTTCTCCTTTTCGACAGACACATTTTGTGTAATGAGGCTCCCACAGAGTGCGATATTGACAGAAAAAAGCACAAATGAATAATGTTAAGGGGCCCTCATAAGCATCTCTTCCACTGTTTAGGTTTGGCAGGAATTACACATCAGTAGTGTATTGTATTTGCTTTTCTGTTCTATTCTTCTAAAAAAGGCCAAATTGGGCACCCTACGGTCCACAGGCTATGAGTTTGACACTTCTACTCTAAATCTGACTAAAACTGGGTCAGCTGTGAGATACATCGGGCTTTTACCATCATGCAGCAAAGCCACAGAAAACAACATTTACCCTTTGAGGAAGTTAAGCTCATTCCGCTTTAAGAGATGACAATAAATAAATCAATTAATAGAATAAAATCTTTCAATCAGCAAAGGAAACATCAATGTCAAATCTGCCTGTATATTCCCACAACCCACCGTGAACTCTTGAATTTTCGGAGCGTTGTATAATCTGTCCGTCACAGCAGTGCTTTGCTCCAACAAACAGTTGGCCGAGAGTCAAACAAGCTCAACAGCAGCTCAAGGGAGGGGGAACACGAAGACTTTATCATCTCGGACAAAAATAAACTATCTTCTGTATACAAAAACATTGTGATAGCAGAAAAAGCCCACCGTGTATTTATAGACTTAATTAGGTTTTGATAACGGGGCTTTTGCGGAGCCTTTTCCCACTTATTTTAACCATGGTGTCGACTTCTAAAAAACTAAAAAAAGTGTGTCAACAAAAATCAATATTAATCAATAGATGACATGTCTTTAGATCTAAGTGTGCTTCTACATTGGAGCTGGTTTCTTAGCTATTTCTTAGCTTTATTTCTTTTCAGATTAGATTACATTTATGAAGTCTCCTTCTAAATTTGCAATTTTTATGATTTGCAATAAGAAAAAAACAGATGAAGTCTAAAAGTAGAGAGATGTGTGCAGTGAATAGACAGTTCCAGTGGAGGGTAAGGAGCTGACCGGCAGGAAATGTGGCCCCAACCATAGAGCTGCTGCCTGGAGAAACAATGGGGAGATTATCTATACAACTCCTTCAAAGAGTTTTTCAACTTGGAGAGAAGCAAAAGATGCCTGTTCCCAGCTAAATAGAGAGATTAAAACTGAAACATTACGGTCAAAGGCACAGGGATGGCAAAGCATCAGGAGAAAACCTCCAGGGAAATAGATCTGAAGATAAGAAAATGTATCACCAAAACAAAGTGAAAAAAACTGGCAGAAAACCGGAGTCAATGTTTGGGGCCAAACTGGAAGAAACCGGATGAGTGAAAAGCAATATATGTCCAGGGGAGCCAAACATAATGTTCAGTAACACCTATAAGGAAGGAATACATGTGTTTGTTACATCAGCTTTATGAGGTGGTCGGCAAACATTTAGATTTTCACCATGTGCGTCATTCAGCACTAAATCAATCATCTACCAGTCAAATTTAGAATACATCCATTGAATTATTCGTAACTAAAATTTAAAGAGACCTCTCAGTGTGCTGAGTAATGAAATCATAGAGGAGGAGCAAGCAGAAAATGAAGGAATGACGTGATCATACAGGGTGTTATGTATATAAGTGACACGTTTTCAAGCAAGTAGTGTGACATTCTCAAAACAGACAGATGGATTTTGGAGTCAATCAGCTGGACTGAGAGCAGAAATCATCTTCATGCAAAATCGTAGCAAAGAAAATAACTTTTAGCCCACAGACTTCATTTTCGTGTTTGCACTTCTCTATGAAAACACACAATATCTTGTCCTCTCCATTTTATTCATATTCATTCCTCACATGCTCGCTGTGTGAGCATTTTTTTCAGAACTATGTGACATTTCTGCCACAATTCCAACCAATCGTGGCCTCTGAGCAGTCAACCTGCCAATACCGCTGTAAAACGAACTACACCAATGTCATCTGGAGTTTTCCAACAGGAATACATCTACTGGTCATTTTTACATTTGTCTTATTAAAAGGAATTCATCAATAAACAAATCACAAAAATGTTACCATGTTTTTAGAACATTTACACACTGATAGTCAGTTAGAGAATCTGAGTGAAAGTGAGAGCGCGCCGGCGGCCAGTCTTTCTGCTGGGACATAATCTGTAATGGATAACCACCCAAACCGAGCAGAGCCGTGCTGGGCCTAACCCGGGCTGAGTAGGCGCTAATGGGAAAAGGCAATCATTTTAACACTGCAGGAAAAAGCGTTTTAAAGTTCAGTCATCAACAAGTTGGGCTTGTCTGTGATCTGTTTTTGCCCCTACAGCCCGTTTAGGTTTGGACACCAAACTGCTCATGTTTATGTCTCAGATTTCTGGATAATTACTGAGCACTGCTGTGTTTTTCTTTGTTGGCTTTCAATCGTGATTACAACGACGACAACATATCTTTTCATTCCAAGAAATAAAGGACTTTCCAGATTCCTCAAAGATCAGTGATGCATGTTATCATGAAAAAGCTTTGCTAGAGACCATGTAAAAACAAAAACAAGGCTTTATTAGAACTTTTTAAAGCTTGATTTATTACCTTTACGGCAAGACAACTGTTACTTAACCTAATTCTTCATTCTTTATTTTTACTGACTTTGCCCCGTTTGTAGCTTGATATTATCTGGATAATCCAAACTGATTATTTATTTATTTTATAGAGATAAAGCTTTCTTTCTTTAACTTAACTTGTTTTCCTGTTATCATGAAGGAAAAGAACTTGAGTTTCTCAAGATGACAAGGCAATTATGGTGCGCTTCCAGTGTCAAAACCGAATTTCACAGTTTATCTTCGGTTTAATGAGATTAAGTCAGGGCATTGCTGTGTGATTAGGTTTGCTACGACGAATTTAGTCCGCGTTAAATATTCCAGTTCTACAATGATGGGATGACATCCCGTTCAGCAGATGTGTGCATCTCTACGCCTCACTATATTTAGAACCTCTCTCCAAGTTCGAAGGATCCGTTTACCCGGTTAAGCTGACTGATGGAGTATGGGACTGTAGACATTTCAGATAGTATTTCCGTCGCTCCTTAAGAGGAAAAGTCCATAATTATGACAAAAAAAACACCGTGAAGCACAAGTTAGCCAACAAAAACACATCGAACTCAGTTCCAAGTCCAACAGTATACAAACTTAGCAATACTCCTCTTGCTAGCTAGTCGCGCGCTAACAACTCAACACAGTTTCAAACAGAGTAATTAGGCAGTTATTTTGTGATATAAGAAACAGGACTTATCCGTGTTACCTGTTCGAAAATAGTTTTTTTTTAAGACCACAGGTGCAAATTCCGAGGCGGGTCTTTCCTGTAGGTTCCCAATACAGTAAGTGAGGGCTCAACCGTCCGGGCGACTTCAAGCGTCTCGGTTCAACAACTTCCGCTCTTCGTCCGCAGTCACCAACAACCGCCCCAGTCTGCTCCGGCAGCAGGTCCAGACTTCATTCCTATACAGCTGTTGTCTGTGTCCAGGGTTGTACACAGAGACCCCTCGCTGCCATTTGGGACCTGTCTGTAGTACGGTTGGTGCTGAGAAGAGGGGGAAAAACTGGGAAATCGTGACATTTCCGGTTGGGCGTGTGGCCTTCAAAGTAAAAGAACGAAGAAACGCGAGAAGAAAAAAGAAGAGCGTCACTTACTTACTATGCTCCTTCAAAAAATCTCTGAAAAGTTAGACTCGATAGGTTAACAAGTCAAGAAGTACACAATAATGTCTGGGAAGACCAAAAAACAATTGAACCTGCACTGCAAAATTGTTTTTAAATAATATTGCGGCGTTTTGGGGAACGTTAAAATGGAGTTCCCATGATGCTTTGCAGATTGTTGCACCGAATTATTCTTTGATTATCTTCCACTTTATTTAAATGGTATAACTGGATATTAAGTACAACTATCGTTTTTTTGTTCCGTCAGACCTATAGTATACATTTTTGGTGTACTTGCTAGTTAGACATTATTATTAATATTACCCTGTGTATGTGCATGTTCATATTTAATATTGGATAGGTGAATTTAGTGCTATGCAAACGTATTCATGTGGATGGGCATATATAATGTTAGTATGGTATTAGATTGTGTAAAGAAGCATTTCAAACTATGTTATTGTTTCATGGTGGTTTGATGTGTCATATGTATTCAAACGGGGGTTAACCATGTGTGATGTTGGAATTTCCTAAATTACTCTTGACAAAGATGGAAGCTATTTTGTCAGATTATACTAAGGCTGTATACTAGACTGTACTAACTAATGTACTGTAAAGAGTACACTGACCAGGTAAGAGTTTTGTTATATATGAACTTGAACAGTGTGCACTTATTCTAGACCTCATGTATATTGATAGTAAAAACTCTTGAAACTCTTTCCAATGAATTATCAGTTCAACTTCAACTGTTTGTTTGATTTATTAAGATAATAGGATAAGATAGGTAATAGTGTCATTTTTATCTTTAAATGTTGGTGAATTATTAAAAACAAATAAAACAGTCCAGTGTGAAATGTAAAAAAAACTCAGTGTATAAATAATAATGCAATTTAAAGAAAAATATCTGAATCTTTAAACTCTGTTATTTTGTAGTAACACATTTTCATGTCACAAAAAATTGTAAAGATTTCATACAAATCAGTTATGTAGTTGCACATTGCGGACTAACTGAGGGGAAGATGTTTGAATAATGATTACCTGAGTTTAGAAAAATCCTGTTGCAGAAAAATATGTTCCACTATCACGATAACAACAGGACTGTTGTTTAAATGTGTCAGAAGCCAGTGAACCATCTCTAACTCTTTTGAGCATCACAGTAGAACTGATAGACTATGAAACGTATCAGGGTTCTACATAGACAATTGAACATGTCATAAACATGTTGTACAGCTGGAGGATTTTGAACTCCATCCAGCGCAAAGCGTGGTCTCATTTATCAGCATTATATTCTTAATCTAATTTTAATGAGATATTTCACGTACAGTTAAACTTGAATAACCACCTAATTGAAATAGCAAAATACTATAGCGCATTGATGCACTTAGAAGAAAAGGGTTTAAAAAAAGAGGCTATACCCAACTAAGATCCTGACCACTGTACAACGTTTACAATACATTTACCATAAATTGTGGATTTTTGGGTCATACTCTGTGTTTTTTGAAAGCTATAAATCTCCATAAGTATTAATTCTAATGGGGCTTTTTTTGTTTGTTTTGTGTTTCTCGTGTTAATAATTCTTTCTGCTCTGTGTTTTTTGTTTGTTTTCCAGATTTCTGAGCTCCCTGTCATTTTCTCGTCATCTGCTCCACACTCCTCTGTGCCAACTGTCTCCCCTGCTCTTCATTCTGTATTCACATTCCTCACTACACAAGTTCTCTTGTCGTCCACTGTCTCTGTAAGGTCATCATATGTTGTCCCAGTGTTGTCCCTCCGGATTCTTTGCCTCAACATCTATGTTTCTTTCTTCTGGTTTCAGTCACCTGTTAAGATTTAATTTAGTGTGTTTGTTATTGTTAATGAACCTCTGCAGAGTTATTTCCTGCCTCTGTTTGGATCCTCTCACCATCACTCACTTGGCAATTGTGACAAGAATTTAAGCATTTTGGATAACAAAGGGCTAAATCTGTACAAAATATGCGATGCATTGACTTTAAAAGAGCACAGGTTTATGTATGAACAAAAATCCCTGTCAAAGCATTAGTGCCATATAGAATTATGTTTTTCCTAAAAGTTTTTTTGTTATGTTGACTAACATTTTTTACGCAAATCTTTAAAAAAGACACTCTAAAATAATAATATAGACTTGAAGTTTTTTTGTTTTTTTTTCAAATGGACTTAGTCAATGTCTTGAGTGCCCACTTGCTGTCCCTTTAGGTTAATGTTTTTTAAAGGATATTTTAAAGCTATAGATGATCATTAGCTGCTAATAACTTTCTGGAAACAATAGAACTGCATAGCCTAGAGACAGAATAAATACCAATGGAATCAATTTAGTATTAGTTTTCATAATGTGTAAAAAAGGGAAGGATACACTGCAACCCAAACCCTGGCACAAGGTCTAAGCAGAGTATGAACATATATTTTTGTCGTGTGAGCAACTTAACAAAACACTGGTTCCTATTTAATGACCCAAAAGGTATATTGATGATCACTGTCTCCATCATTGGCCTATATAGGGATCGGGAGGTCCTTTAATAGATTCTGATCCCATGTTATTCAGTCTGGTCCATACATCATGTTTACTTTGAATTCCTATATGTTTACATACTCTGCTCAGATTTTGCACCACAAGACTAGAAATAAGATTTAGAAGGTCTTCCATAAAGTAGTCAATAATACAGAAGGATGCGGTGAGTATTTCAAATATTTATTGAGTGCTGCTGTGGTGTAGAAGAGGAGACATGATGAAATCAGCAGTCAGAAATTACATTTGCTCAACACTAGCGCCCTGAAGCTCCTGCTCCAGTAGATTTAGTCATGATTCTTGTGTCATCTGGTGCACAAGAAGGAAACCATGCTAAATGTGTTTTTTTCCACGTCTTTTACTTTAAAGGGCTGACATAGGAAATAAAAAATGATTCAAAAAGCAAAGGAAGAACTCCAAGCGTTGTTAAAGGTCCACATGACATTGTCGTTTTGTTTTGTTTTAGCATGTGTCGTGGATACCTTTCTTTTCAGAACAAACTCTGTTTTGCAAAAATAAAAAGGAATATAAAACACATATTTTTAAAAAAGCTAACAAACAGTACTTCTTAGTGTGTGGTACAAATTCAGTGCCTCCCAATCCCTGCATATGAAAAGATTAAGGCCTCATTGTGCATTCACCCTTCTCAGCTAGACAACACAACATACGACAGCCCAGTCCTGTTCATCTGCGAATATAACCAGGTAACCAGTCAGTCAAATACTTGTTTATCTGGAAGTCAGTATTTATGTTTTATCTAATCAAATTAATTTCAAGTTGTTTGACTGGTGTGTGTAAAAATATACAAAGAAATATTTATGGATTTTTTATACTTTTACAGTCTCTCTACAAATGGGAACCAGTCATGTTTATGCTCAGTAGTTCTGACTGGGTCACAAAAGTGTAAAAAAACATGGATGCTCGCTGATAATTGGTCAACAAATATCTGCCTTGGGTGTCAGTTAAGCCAATTTAATTTGAAAATAAATGTATAATGCACCTTTAGTTCATTTTTTTAACCTAAAAGGAAATTTTATAGCTTAAAAATGGCATTAGATTATTGGTTTATTGTGTGATATTCTGGAGATGCAAAACAAACCTAAATGCTTTTGAGAAGAATGTTGAATATTTAACTAAAATGTTCTCAGGACTTTCTGTTTAGTTATTCCCTGACATTGTTATACTGCTGAGATGAGCTGGCCTTTGTGTGCTGACCGCCCCAACTAATCTGTTATCTTCACACAGTTAAGCTAGCACATCAATTTTATATGCATATGCAATGCAAAACCAGCAGATAATAAACTAGATGCTGTTTCAACCCTACAGTCTTATTAGTACAGAACAGAACGTCCTCCACATTTCTTGCAGTGAAGATGCACAGTTCAGGAAAGTCGTCCTGGCTTTCAGGAAGGACTTTACTTAACAATTACTGCTGTGGTGCTGTGAATAGATTCCATAATAGCAGCCAGGCGGCTGCACAGGTCGTGGGCCTGGTTGACCTGAACTTTGGGTGGCTCCTTAAGCACTACTGTCTCAGCAGAACCGTCCAGGACCCTGGGCAGCAACTCACCCAGCTTTACCTGCAACGAGTCTAAACACAACAGAGGAGATTTAGAATGGTGAAAATAGACTTTTTTTTGCTCATGTACTCTCAAATCAAACTGAAATATTGCTGGAAGTTATCCTAAGATTTCATAAGATAGAGAAACATTAACAAACTGAAATGATTCACATCATTAAATCTATGTTGGCAGGATTGAAATGAAGATGGACAGAAAAAACCCATTCCCAGAAAAGGATATTAATAATGTATATTTTTGGGGAATCCAGAGGGATCTCCAGATCTCTGTTTAATTTAGCTTCTACCATTTTATCTGGAAAGGTCTGCCAGGGCGTCCGTATCTTGATAGGAGGCGACTTTAAACTGATCCGTAATGACAGCTCTGAACTAGGACAGAACAGCATGCTGACAGCAACTAAAATGATTTTCCACTAATAGGCTGCTGATTCCCAAATGTATGACAAATGTATGACTGTTAACACGGGCCCCTTCCTATGGCTGTCAGTCTGTACAACCAGTACAACTGCCAAAAAACCACTTAAATCCCCCAAAAGACTCCGGCTGCTTTAGTACAGGCTGTGGAGTTTGCTGACCATGCCATAAGCATTGTCCAGTCAAACACACAAATGTGTTCCAGTATGATGATGCTCATCACCGGTGTTGTTCATTACTGTTTATTTACTGCTTATGTTGCATTTTCTTCCTATATTGTTGTTACTACCTCTATGAGACAGTTGCTTGCTGCTTTTTTGCTGATGTGTTCAAAACTTTTTGTTAAGTAAGTTCCAAAGAAATGATTTTCCTTGACTGGCCAATTTCAGTGTGCTTGGAATATCAATACATTTAACCCTTTAAAGCCCGATCCAAGAATAAAACAAAACAGAAACTTACTTTTTTTTTTGTTTTAAGTCTATATTTGGCCTTTTAACAAAATATGTAAAAAGAAAAAACAAAAATACATTTTTAATGTTAATAATTTAATACAATGTGATAGGTCAAGATTATTTTTTGTGTAATCTTCTTCCCCCTGTTATCAGGTGTATCTGATTGTGTACAAAAGGATTTTGAGCAAAGTTTTTACCATTAAATTATGCAAAAGGTGTTAGACACAAAACATTTCAGAAACCGTATGTATCAAATATGATACGTTTGGCATTACAGGGTTATGATCTAACATTTCTGTTTTGGAGGATTCATTGAGCGTGTCTAGATTGGGTATGAAAGCTGCATCCATCAAAGGCACCAAAAGTATTTCTACGAATATGTGCGTCATAGGTCATGTTGTGCCCAAATCAAGTAAAAAATGGATATTCCCAAGAATAATCAGAAAGGATCAAAGGAGTTTTTGAAAATATTGATGACCAGGAACTTCTGTTGGATGTGTGTGAGTGTCGGAGTTGATTCGACCAGGCCATGCATTCTCAAAACTTTGCTAGCTTTTCATTCAATCTGTTCCTCGTTGCAAAATTTAAATTAGCTTTGCAACATTAACCCACCATCCCTCAGACCTGGGGGGTAGTGGTTCCTGGAACAATGTACATAGAACACATGGGCTGTGTGACCATACCCCTCAGCAACTAATGGTGCCCTTTAAATTTAAAGCAGAATCTGCCTGGTTTTTCTCATTTGATGTATTTTATGAAAAATAACTTATTGATGTATAAAGAATTATCCAGACTTATAGGGAAGGCCTTGGAATGATTCACTAAGTTTTACGCACTTAAAACTGTGTTGTTTTTGGTGATATTTAAGAAAAATTCCTAACTGTTCTGAATATGGGGTTCAAAAATACATATTTCTAAATAACATAGGTTGCTAAATTTACACTGGACTGCAAAACACACAATGTAAGTATTTGTAGGTATCCTCTTATATGGTACACATTTAATAACTCACCATTCATGTCCTGGCCAAGGCAGCAGCACCAGTGGCTGCGGATGCTCTCCATCGTGTCTCGGTCTTCCTGCAATGACGCTGAGTCCCGACTCATGAGGTGAAGGCAGGGAATGACGGCCTCGTCCATAATGGCGACGCCCTCCTCTGTCTTGCTCTCCTCACCGCTGGAAAACAGGCGCGATGCCCTCTCATTCAGAGCCTGCAAGTTGGAGATTTAGAAATTAAGTTTAACTTTTTGTTCTGGAATTTACACGCTGGAAGAGTTAGTCAAAATTCATCAAAAACTTATAAGGCCTAGTTGAAGAGCATTTACACAGGGCATCATCTTGGCCAAGAATACTGACACATATGGCTGAGAGGAGCTTGAGACTAGATATTTAATGTATGAGTTCCCTGTTCAATCAAGTTATGTGCAACTCACAGAAAATGTGGAGTGGCATTTGGAAACAGCACAATTCCTGCTTTGAGGAATGCTTTATTTCTTCACCTTGACCTTCTTTTTGGGCATTAGGGGTAACGATCATTTCATGGACGTTTTCTAAGAGTCAGATTAAAATCTAAATGTTTTCTATTTAAAAAAAGTTTTATTGTCTATACTAACAGTCATAGTGTTTTTTTTTCTGTTTCTGTTTCTTTAAATCTGCAGTATAAATCCCAAAGCTTCCATGAGGGCTTTAACCAATTGGCTTTCAATAGTTTATCCCATTATAAGATGAGTCTAAATATGGAAATGGACAGACAGGCCAGACAGCCCTCATGTACAACATTTTTGCAGAGACAGATGTCTCTGCAGCAGCTGGCCAGATGTTATGGATTGCAATGAAAGTTCCCAGAGGATGACTGGTATTATTTTTGTGAGCCTTAAAGTTCCTTCTTGGTTTGCCCAAAGCATGTTTAACACAAGGGACACTAAAATACAAACACAGACCACCATTTTAATTGATCATAGACCTGAAATATTACTCACAGTAAGACACTTCCTGCGGTAAACAGCAATAAGAGACCTGTTGACACCATATTTCTCTCCCTTTGTTAGCAAGGTGCTGTTGGTTTCATAAGCATGAGTCAAGTAGTTCAGCGCCTCTCGCATCCTGCATCACAAAAAGGAAACAGCTACTGTGATAACCACCGGAAACACAGTTAAGGCTTTGACTATGAGATACAGTCCATATATCCTCCCTCCCCAAATTGATTAAGCATTTGTAGACAATTTCAGCTGAATTCACATGGTGTTTAAACATGTGTACAATTGTATGTTTTGTTTTTTAACATAAATTGCTTTCCAATAATGCTGGTAATGTTACGATTATCCAACGCAGTGATTTAATATGTGGCTCTGGTTAAGTTATGGTGAAAGTCTGACACCTACTTTCCATGCTGATAGTGCTCCAACCCAGTGAGCAGATGGACAAACACTGTCCTGAACTGCGTGTAGTCATCATGCCACCCCTGTGAAAGAGCACAGAATGAACATTAGTCACGCCATTTGTTTTCTTATTTTCTGTCATTAGTTAACAGTTGGAAGATAAAGTCGTTCTATATTATATTATCATTGTTGTTATTCGAAATATTGGTTTTAGAGATGTTTGGGTTAATATAGTAGTAACACAGTAGTAAGCTAAGTCATACTTTAGTAACACAAACAACACATTCACGTTTTTTTGTTCCTGTTGATGACTAATAAATAAAGAAAAAATAATAATCTACACTGTATTATCATCAGATCCATCAGATTAAACACAAGTTTTGAGTTTCGGTTCGCTGCTGTGCTGTGGTTTTAACCTCCAGTCTCTGTTTGGTGCAGTGTTCCCGTCACTCCAGCTGTCTTGCCTTGCTGGAATATACATAGCTCACATTCCAGAAGGACAAAATGCCATCGGTTTTACAAGCTCCAAACTGAAATTTCAACCACGCAGACCCAAACAAATTTATCAGATTAAGGATTTAATTTCTGGATCATGTTGAAAAAAATCTTCAATAAAGTACAGACAACACTGATACACTGCTGATATTTGACAACTGACCTCCTTATTTAATTTGTAAATATAAGTGTGACCCTATATTTTAGGTGGTGATACTAATCATAATTTGATACAAAAGCAGTGCCCATAAAGATATGAGTTAGATGACTTAGAGGTTTTTTATTTTGTCAACAAACGGGAGAGAATGTTGATATGGACAGTCTTAAAACTACAGTGTGTAATTCTTGCCCTACAGTGCTTAATGTAAGAAATTAAAGGAGTTTTGAGGTGGTTCAGTATGTGATCAAACCTAAAACTAGATCTGTCAGTCATCAGTAGCTGGGCAGGAGGTCACTGTGGGGAACTTTTACAGTTACATTCAGATATTTTCCCTCATTTAGATAAAAAGGAAGCCTTTATGTTGATGTTATCAAGAGAAAATGTCAATTTGTTTGGATTTATAATAGACCATGACATAGAATGTGTAATGCTGTGGTGCTCCAGACCAATAAAAAAAACATATCACAAACAACCAGGCTCTGTGGGGGATTGAATCAGTGTTTTTGGCAAAGCTTCTTTAGACAAGCAACTTCGGGATATCTTTTTCTGGAAACTCCATGTTTTTTTTCTTACAATACATCCCAAAGATTATGCTCAGGACAAATAACAAAGACATGGCAAAGGAAGAAAAAGTACAGAAATTAATCGAGTGAAAATTAAAACTAAAATAATTGCTAGCATTAATGCATCTTTTTTCTTTTTGTTTTCCATACCATTCCAATCTTTCTGATCTTTGATTAAATGCTTTTACATTATGTTCAGCGTTCCATTTTGTGAACAACAGATCCACAATAACAGAAAACCCTTTAAACCAAAAGAAAAAAACCCTGTCGCCTCATGCGCTTGATTATCTAAGTGAGTTACTTACCTGAAAGTGGCCTCTGTTTAGTTTCCAAAACCTCACAAATGTTTCAGTTAATTCCCATTTATTGATATTGATCCAACTATATTGTCGACAAATCTATGTTTAGAATTTTTTTTTCTACACCTTAATATTGACGTTTGCATCCTGCCTCACCTTTGAAACATTTAAAAAGAGAAAGAGGACATCGGACAGTTTCCACTAAAATAATAACAGTGTAATGTTTAACTCCAAAAACACAAGGAATTTATAATTGAATATTAGTCAATCAAGACAAATGTGGAAGCATGACACCCTAATGACATCAGATCACGGACAGTACCATGTATTCATCCATGTCCATGTCTTCTGGCTTGATGAGGCGCAGCTTGGCTCGTGCTTCCCTCATGATACTGATAGCCCTGCATAAACAAAACATACAAATTAAGTTAAAAATAACTAATGAACAGATATCTAAATGACAGGTCTCTGGTCTGGACACTAGATGGCAGACAATGCATGTTATATGTTTAAGTGAATCTAATTCAGCTGTGGAGTGCAGCTGCTGTGAGTGAAGCCTTATTGTCTTATATTACTTATATGTATATGCCTTCCACATGTATTGTTACACACTAAATTATGGCAGTAGTTCAATTGTCATAACTGACTCTAAGTGTGCGCGTATGCGTTTGCTTGCCTCTCGTCAAAGCTGAGGTTACGGTCTGTAAACTGCTCCAGCAGCGTTCTCTCAATGACGCGCTTGGGTGCCTTGTTCTGGAAGAAGTAGACCAGAGAATGCTGCAGACGAGCATCCTCCTGCGGTGTGATCTCCTCCAGGGAGAGCTCATACAAGCGGGAATACTCTTCATGGAAAGCCTAACGGAGCCAAGGGGAATGTTAACAGATTTAGTTTCCCAAAATGTTTACAAATGTGGAAAAACACAGGGATAGCTTTGGTACAGTTTACCTGGGCACATTAAAAGCTTAAGTATTTTCTTCTTTCTTTAAAATGTTGTGATGTAAAGAAATTGTACATCTTTAAAATCGTATTTTCTGCTACTATGAAAATACATCTATCAATTAAAAATAAAGCCCTTTAGGCACAATTCCTTCAGCATGTCTTTCAAAATGCATGTTTATATGACTTTAGGATTTTATTGCCCACGTTAAAAAGATAGCAACTGCAGTTAGAGTATATGTGGGTCAAAACTCAAAAGAACAGTAAGTCCACATCCATTTTGCAGTGTTTAATGTTGATCTAAGGCTAAAGATACTCTAACTTCCCACCCATAGCATACCTTAATGAGACCAGCCTCTGGGCCTTCTTTGTCAAAGATTTGTCTGGCCTTGGCTATTGCCAGAATGACACCTTGCATTGCTGGAGTGAGCATCATCTGTGAAATGACAGAATAATGTCAAAACAGAACATAACAACACAATTAACCTGGCAGCCAGGCAAAATGCCTTGAAAATAAGTAATAACCATGCTGAAATATAGAACACCAAATGGTAAACTGGCAGAACTGAGATAGTATCTCAGATAAAATCAGTTTGTAGAATTACAATGTGCAAATATTTTGGATGAGTGCCTTTTTTTTCAAACACACACTGATACTTCTTTAACAGGTTTTTTAAAAATAATTTCTTTAAGTAGTCTTCAGGAAAAGTTATCCAGGCCTCTTAAGGAACATTCCAAACGTCTTTTCTGAATTCTACCTCTCCCTTCTCATTTTCTGTCAAGATATATCCACACAAGTTGAGGTTCAGTCTCTGGGGGGAATTCATTCAACCATCAAACCTGTTGCCGCTGACTTTCAGTCTTTTGTGTCATCTGGCATGCCTCAGCCTTTTCACCATGTTTCTCTACGTTAACAATAGCCTCTTGGCATTCACCCTTTAATGGGGTCAAATTTTTTTTATCAGGTTTCATTGAACAGCAGAAAGATCAACTGGAAATCCATATGCATCTTTTAGGCTCTTTGTCAACACACATTCAGGATTTCTTCCAAATTCAGAAGGAAATTACTTTAAGATACTGTTCACCTGCTGAAAAGAGATTTTTCTGACACTTCTTACGCAGCCATTTTCTAAAAGTAGTTTAAGGACGAACAGGATGTACTGTGTTATCTTTTGAATTTTTAGCAAACGCAGGTAAGTGAGGACAAACTATGGCTCTTGTTGACAGGCAGCTCGTCAAAATTCCAGTCATTTAGTTGTGCGTAGACAAAACAGTTGAGTGCAATTCCTGTTTGAACTATTCATATTTCAGTGTTATGTGACTAAAGCAAAAATAGATCAATCAAGAGATTCCAGTCAAATCAGTTAGTGAAAATGAGTGAAAACAGCCATAATTCTGCTGTAAAATTGTCTAATCTTAGAACTTACCTCTTCATTGTATCCATCAGCATCAGCCCTCACCATGATCCTGCCCACATTGGGGATCTCCACCTCTGAGACCTCATTCTCAGGCTGTCGCTGTCTTGCTGGGAGCCCCTGCTGCTGCTCCTCATGCTCCTGCTCTGTTTCTTGGTGAGGAACCTCTCTTTGAGCTCCGGGCTCACTGTCATTTTCAGGAATCAGGCCTGTCGGGTCCATGTCATCCTTCTGCACGTGGAGCTCGGACGTTACCTTATCACTGGATTCTGCATCAGAGCCAGGACTCTAACAAAAGGGAAATAATACAAATATGCATTATTTTTTCTTTTATCCATTCATTATTGTACATATTTACATTTTTATATGCGTTTTGGGGGCATTTTCTGTATCTCGGACATTTATTACAAGTGGTAAACAAATCACAAAAGTTAAAATCCAATAAGAATAAAAAACTAAAATAAGAAAGTAAAAAATGCATTGTTAACATCAAAGATCCCAGAAAACTGCAATTTCCATCACTGGGCTGACTGGTAAAGAAGGTCCTTGACCAACATGTACAGATTTTACTTTATGGCTGAAAATTTCTGACCCATATTTATCAAGCAAGGAATGCGCGTGGGGGGGGGGCGGAGAGACTTTCCCACCTGACTCCGCAGCTCTCTCTCAGCTGAGCTGGAGCTCTGGCTGGGTTCCACGGTGTCAGTGACTGCTGCAGCACTGGTGTTGTCTGGCCGGCAGCCAGAGCTCTCAGGTGGTGGTGATGACTCTGACTCTTCTGCTGTCAAAGATATTGAGAGAGGGTGAGAGCTGATACCCACCTCTGCGACGGAGGGCCCTGTTTGCAGCAGTCCCTTGCAGAGTATATAATTAGATCAGATAATCTAATCTCATGTGATACTGGAAAGTGTATCATTGATTTCACAGCAATAATATATTCTGTCCACCTGTGTGTGGGCATAACTTTGGAGGCTCTGCAGATATTAAGGACCACTTAGTTGGGTATACACAGCCAGACAGTGCTGATGAAGTATTTTTAAAAACACAAAACAGAGGCCAATCTTTTCCTCATAATCTGGACAAAGTGAATCAAATGTGCACTTTTCCTCCTATAATTCTCAAACGTATATGTGAAATATTCGTAAAAGGAAATAAAACTTAACTGAAAAAGGAATTAAAATGAAGTTTATCTGTGACATACAGTATGTCTTTGGGAAGAAATCACAAGTAGATCCTGAATGACCCTGATTGGAATTCACATTAAAATATGTATATCTAAAATAAGATAAGATCTCTCTATTTGTTATATCTTGTCTTATCTTATCTTAGATAAGATAAGACAAGATAAGAGATGTTGGCACTAGTCCTGTTACGATCTATTGATGCTTTACTAGATTAGGTTCAGCAGTGTAATGTGATCAAGAAATGAAGCCAGCTGAATATCTGAATAGGCGATTAGAATTTTTCATCAATATAACTTTTCTCCTCCCTGATAACAAAGTAATTTCCAAAGATGAAAATGTCAGTATTCACTGGACTATTTCCTCTAAATAATCTTTTTATTTGGTCAGCTACAGCACTAGGGCTATAAAAACAGAGTTAACAGCCACTGTCCTATAGGTAAATAAGACAGCTCTGAAAAGGTTTGTCTCTTTACTAACTGTGGCTGATAGTTGTCACTGACTCCCATTTCCAGATTTCCAGATTTCAGCTGTTACTGAACGCTGACCACATTTGTAAACAGTGCTTCTTTGTGTCTCTGGTGTGTTATATAGTCATCTGGCTAACAAACTTTTGTTGCCAAATCCCTGTCTGGTAACAGGTGACAAAATAGAAGAACTCATTAAAAATAATCACTCCTTAACTAATATAATTAATCTCAATAAGTTAGAAGCCTCGAATCGATCTTTCACCAGGTGGCGCTACAAACCTTCTGTCTTCTCTCTGCAATCTGACACAGGATCTTCATCTCCTGGTTCTGATAGGGGCTCTGAGGCAGCTCCCTGCTCCAGCTCTGTGGTGGGGGGATCCGACTGGGTCGCTGACTCAGCGGGTGTTTGCTCTCCATCTTCCAACCTAGAGTCGGGGGGCTCTGCAGACACTGCTGACTCTTCCTGTGGGGTTGCAGTCTGGCAGAACTGCTCCTCCCATTCATTGAGCTCCTGCTGGAACCAGCGGTTGTCTTCCTGGACGTAGCGCCTGAGGACGGGCGGCAGGGAGTCCAGGCCATGCAGCGCCTGGCCTGTCTCATCATCTGTGTCTTCTGGAGGCATTTAAGGGAAAAGTAAGTCGGTGAACTAAAGCACTCATTCTAACAATGGAACCAGTGGCAATACCACTTTATAATCATGATAAAAAGCAGCATTATTCATTTAGTTTTATTACTCTTAATAAGATATGGGATATGTCTATTCTTTATTTAAATATGCTATTGTTTTAATCGACGGTAGTTTAACCAAACAATTGAAAAAACAATTTTTTAAAACTCATAATAATAATACTGCCTGGGTTGCAAACTTGCACCCTTGTATGTCCCTCTATCAAAGTGTAAAATACTGTGCCTACTTGCATACGTACCTGTGATGAGGGTGGGAAGCCTGCCATCGATGTACATCAGGCAGTAAGCACTGGCATTGGTCATCCCTCCGAAAGAGTCTCTTTCCAGTTCTTCCCACGACGACTCAGTGATGCTTACATCATTATACTTCATCCATCGGTCGTTAACATGATCATAGATGTATGCCCAGTAATGTCCTGCGGAGGCTTGGCCTTCATGGACGAGTACTGCATGGAGTTTGTATGGCACCTATGGAAAGAGTATAAAAAGACATATATGCAAACTAACTACTGTCCTGTTTGTATTTTATAACTTGAATAAAGTTTCCTCCAAGTTCCATCAACACACACTCTGGAGCATTAGATGTAAAATATCTAATTACTTTGTCGTTTTTCTAAATAAATCAGATGAGCCTTACCTGGCAGAGGCTGTTGTCTGTGTACATGCCCTTGAGCGTCTGAGTGAGCTTGTCAATGCTGGCTTTTAGCTCTGAAAACATAGAACCGATTTTATAGTAATGTTCCAGAAATGATATATGATTTGCCTCCTAATATAAAAGTTTTTAAAAAGTGTTTTTCATTGGTGTGACACTGACAAGTCATAGACAATTTATTCAACTTGGGACTTTTGCTCTGATTGGCTTGGCAGTAACTTTGGCTGTTGAATATCTTGGAATATTTGACTGGGGGACTTCAAAGTGGTTCTCAAGGTCCCAGTAATTAAGTTTACCATGACTTTTTTGTGAGAATTCTGAATGTTTTTTTATTGGCGTACCATTGATGTCGTTCTCAACTTCAGTCCTCCAGCGCTGTAGGCAGGTCTTAACGAAATGCAGCTCCTCCTCAGTGACACTGTGAGGAGCTGGGTGTGGTGGGTAGTCTACAGGTTGTCTGCACTGGGTGAAGGGCTTGTAAATGGGTGTCCGCTGGCAGTTCGAAACAGGGGAAATCATCTCCTCTGAATCCATATCGCCAGGTTCACTAAGGATGAAGAGAATCCCAGAGCAAATCTTTTTTAACAAGAAATTCTCTCTCCAGCCACAAATTTAAGTTAATAGTAATTAACTTAAATCTTAAATTAATGGTAAATTTATGATCTAGTAATAGAGTTTTTTGCTTTTGTTACTGAAACTGGTGATGTCCAACACACCTGTTGTCTTTGGGGAATTGTTCACTGAGAGGGTGGCTTGCAAGAGTTGGTGAAGCTGTGGCTTGTCTGGAGTCTTCAGCTGCGGAAAGGCTAGTGGGCTTGGTGGTAGCAAATTCAAGAACAAACTGAAGCATGTCAGCCAGAGGATACTTAGTAGGTCCTGAGCCGTAATTCTTGTAACTATAAACATAGGCAAGAGATAAAAACATATGCTTCAATACAACGTAAACAATTCAAAGTCTTAACACTTTACATTTTTAATCTGTATTATGTCTTTGTGGTACAAGATAACTTACCACTCAAGTTTCTGTTGAAGGGCTGCAAGTTGTTCCTTCATTTTTTTCACTTCTCCCCTCCTTTCATGGGTTTGTTCAATGTTTTTGTGAAGATATCTGTTCACAGTAAGATAGGAGTGCATCCAAAAATTGCTATGTGCTGTGCAAAGGTACTTAATTGAATTACTCGTTGCCATGAAAAATTAAATAGATGTGAATTTAATACGGTACAGTACAGTGAATAAGGAAAATGCATTTAAAAAAAAAATACTTTAAATAATGTTTTTTATAGAGGTCCCTGAAGATATACATTTTAAAACACTAAATTATGTCATGGTGTTGTGACTACATAGACTTGTATCTTGAGTTAGGTTTCTTTTTTTCTGTCTGAATGATTCATAGGTCTAGTATTTGGAAGCATAACAAACAAACGATAATATTTATATATTTCCCTGAAACGTTAATGTACAAAGACTGCACTGATGATTAGTGAAAAAGCAGCCAATGCCATACTAAAAACCTTCAAAGACCTTCAGAAGTCTGAGGGTCGCTTTTAAAGTCTGCAAGAAAGTCTGACTGCTTGGAACAGAAATATAAAAACGCAGGGTGAGTCATGGCTATCGCATAGTATATGCTATTTGATAGGTTTATTAAATTAGTTGTAAATTTAGGGTGTTTGTCCTTTGTTTGTTAATGTAAGGCAAGATGCTCACCTGTCCATGTAAATGATTTGTGGAAACTCTAATTTTTTGTGTATCTTCTCAGGACGTCCAAGCTGGGTGTTGAACTCGAATCTAGAGAGTTCAAAGGTCAGGACAGGTGGGAGCTTTTTAAACCATCTCTGCAAGCAAAAAAAGACACGGACGCATTAGCAGATTACATAAATATACATATATGTGTACAGATTTTTATGTATGTTGTCAACGACTGTTCACCTCACGCCCGGATGGGCCAGTCTGATCTGTATGTAGTGACTCGATCTCCCTTTCAACCATAGCACCCTCTAGGCATTCATCCAGGTTGTTGAATCCATTGACTTGCAGGGGGTATTGGCCAAATTGCTCAATATTATATAGTGTCTTACCTAGTCACAATCAAACAGACAATGCAGAATAAGATGGAATTCATATCGATGAAACCACTGTCAAAAACAGTTATTAAGCTCATACCCTCATGTCTCCTCTCTGTCACAAAAGTTCCATAGAAAAGCTGGACCATTGGATTGTGTTGCTTGTCCTCTGCGTTTCTGGAATGAAAACCCCCATTGTTTATTATTCTATACAACACAATTCAAGCGAGAAACGGCAGCCACAACCTGGATACGTAAATGACATGAGAAGATGACTCACTTTCCATTGGCAGCCAGCTGAAAGGCATCTTCTAACCAGTCAAGCAGTTTGTGGGAAAACTCACTGACATCCTAAAACACATAAAAAACATCAACAAATTCGAATTCATTCATAATTTTAGTTTTTTTAAAAGCCATGCTCAAAATAAAGGAACCAATGAAGCAGAACAGTTGAAAGAACTGCTGAACAGCTCAGGTTGTAGTAAAGAAGGCCAGAATTTGTCTGTTGCCTCTCAGATAAGAACAGAGAGGTGTGGAAGGCATATCAAGTACTTACATTTGCACTGTAGCGTTTACAAAAGAAAATACTATGAAAGAGTCACTCATTATTAGAAGATTCAAAGAATTTCCACGTGAGTCTGCAAGTAAGGAGAGCCTACAGCATGAAAAAACAAAGTAACAGGACCTTGTAGAGAAAACCCATACATAGCTTTCAAAGGGATTTTATCAGTAAAAAATATTAATAATAGTAAATAGTATAAATATTTTGAAATAAAACTACATAAAGTTCTTTTACTGCAATTTTGGCTTTTTAATACTTAAAGAATCAACACTAAGAAGTAATTAAAAAAAAAAAAAAGATTTTTTGGCTCTAGTGGCCTTTAATGATAGTAGCTTGACAGGAAAGGGGACAGATATAGAGAGGGGGAGACCTGTGGGAAAGGGCCATGGGCTGGATTCGAACCCAGGCCGCCCGCTTGCGAGCAGAGGCTCTGAATATGGGCCGCCCGCTCTAGCCAGTAGGCTACAGCTGCGGCCCACTAAGAAGTAATTTTTAACAGATTGTTTCATTATCTTATAAGAATGACATGCCTGTCTTTTCCTATGACTTTTTGGACATAGGTTGCTATTACTTGATAGTTTTGCTATTGCTTGCATTGCTGTCTTGATTAGTGTCCGACGCCATTGTGATTTGTTTTTTATCACTATACATCAATTTCAGCCAAAGAACATTTGAACATTTGTATCTAATGTGGAGAAATTCCCTTGAGGTGCTGGCGATATTGCGTTAATGTCACTGCCACAGATGGAAAAATAAAATTCAGGTATTGCGTATGCAGTCGCTCCATATTCCAGGAAATATGAGTCCCTCACCTGATAATGAAGTGCTGCTGGATGGAATCTGACTGGTGTGTATGAGACTGCAGTCTTATCAGCACTGTATAAGTATGTGTGCGTGTATATATATGTGTGGTATGTGTGAAGGGATTTGCAAGTGTTTTTTGATGTGTGCCGCTATTGATTTAAAAAAAAAGAAAACACAGTGGTGTGCGTGTGTGTATATGTACCTGTTGTGCTTCACTTGTCCTGAAGGCCTCTCGCAGTAACTCGACTGCAGCCGAAGGGTCCACAAACCTGCGCGTGGACCCCACCATGAGGGCAAAGAGGCATCGCAGCTCCTGCATGAAAGCTATGTTTCTCTTGTCCTGTTATCATAAAAGAAAAGCATCAGCGTGCTGTTAGTGAAAGCAGTGTCTACTTGTGCCCTTCAGGTGAAAAATACAACAACAGCAGAACGACTGCAGTCTACTCACTGCGTGACTCTTGCACTTTTCAAGTACTCGCTCGGAAAGATGGTAATTGAGAACCAATCTCCGGAACACAGGCAAGTGGAACAGGGACTGCAATAGGAAAAAAGAATCTGAGTGCCTTAATCCTGTAGTAAAGTGGAGGATGTTACCATGACAACAGTTTGAAAGTTTTACATTTCAGGACAAATTAATAACATATCTATCTATCTATCTATCTATCTATCTATCTATCTATCTATCTATCTATCTATCTATCTATCTATCTATCTATCTATCTATCTATCTATCTATCTAT